AAAAATACACCTGATGATGGCCAGTTACGGCCAAAACATATAGTATAGAGGAAGAAAAGACAAAGAACTACAACCAAATAAATTGTTGCATTCACGACGGCATTTGTATTATTACATATAGAAGTGTATAGTGCAACAGGCTGCTTAAATATAATATACTTTTAAGGTTAAGGTCGTTCAGCCCATAGCCAGTCACTATACTGACTACACTATCCCAGCTGGTGATTCATAATAGGAAGTTGTAAAATATATTTTTTTCTAGTCTGCTGCTTTTGGAATTTAAAACTCACTTTACATTATGTCTTCAGTGTCAAGTGAGGATTTTGAAACTCCATGCTTAGAAGATTAATATGAGATGATTTAATACGGTGAAGTATTTCCTATTTAACATGCTGATTGCCACACTGTCTCTGGTAGAAAGTTAAAAATGTGCAGGAGACATTGCTGACCATGGCAGGAAGGATGTTCTGTGTCTCCTATTTAATGTTCAGATATATTCATGCCAGCTTCAGATGTCCTCAGGAACATAAACCCCTTAAGGGCGTGTGTCCATTATGACTTGTGGGCACTGCAATGCTTGTGAATGTAGGGCAGTTCACAATAGTGTTAACAGCAAGCTCAGCACATTGGCATGCCCCCCCCCCACACACACACACACACAAAATGATGATAATAAAACGTGTACACTTTTTTTCTGGCTCAGGATAGGAACTGCTGGAGGGCTCTTGTGAACACAGTAATGAACCCTCGGGTACCATAAACGCTGGGAAGGCTCAACTTTGTGAGTGAGTGAGACTTTTTTCTTAGGATTATCTTACATTCAGACATTCAAAATTGCTACTGTACTTTTTGGATAGTTTAACCTACTTTCAGACATTACTTTATTTATCATAGTTTGCATGTGTAAACCTTATTGTATGTGGTAGCATAGGAATCAGGGTTCAGTTCTCAGCAAATGCAGGTCATTTCTCTTTTCCAGTGTCCAGATTGCTTTGGGTCCACCCAGCCTATCCAATGGGTACCGGGGCTCTTCCCATGGGGGGGAAAGCGGGTTGAGCGTGAAGATGGCCACTCACCTCATCAAGTGCTAAGGTTAATACACAAAGCTATACCTATGCTCTCCCATACGTCTTCATAGCTTGGTGCTGATTTAAGCACAGGGACAACTTTAACTTAGAGCCTTAATCATTATGAATGTAGCATGAGGGATCTGAGAAATACATGCAGAATTTTCTTTGGAAAATTGAAGAGGAGAGACCACTTGATGGGAATAAGATATATTAAGGAAATTTGGTGTGGATGGGATAATCTAACTTGGGATAGGGTCCCAAGTAGGAGGTTCTTACGAACATAGTAATAAATTTTCAGGTTTCATAAGAAATGGGCCATTTCTGGACCACCTGAAGAACCATTAGTTTCTCATGGACACTGATGTATTTGCAGTAAAGTTCACTTTATAGGATTTGAGGTTCTCACAGAGGTGGTTATGAAGAGTTATATCTTCTGGGATATGTCATGTAGTCCGTTGAAAGTCAACTGACATTTCAGAGGAACATGTCACATCTATCTTCAGGGCTGCAGAATAAGCCAAGTAAGAAAACCAGTGTGAAAGCAGGTGACAAGCAGCTTGGCTTATTTTTAACCATGAAGATGGAGGTGACATGTTCATCCAAAATGTCAGTTGACTTTCAGTGGACTACATGGCATTATATCCAAAAAGGAAAAACTCTTCAAAGTTAACCTTCACCAACAATCAAGCATATGTTTATACAACAAGAGACTTCAGTTATGTGATTTCTTGTTGGTGACAAAATTCAAAGTGCAGACATAGGTTACAATACATCACAATACTGAAATTTACATTCTGCAGTAGTTAAAAAGCCGTGAATAATGCAAAGTGTAGTTGGAAAAATATCATTCTGCCTGAATACTAAGAGTACAGCAGAGGCCAGTACTTGTTAAATCCATTTCTATTCAATTTAGAAACTAACATGAACTGTGCAAATTGCATAGTACAGAACAGAAATTACCTTTACTTTTGTAAATGAATGTATCTGGGAAGTTTTGGAAGTAACATTCCAGTAATTTTGGTAAAGCGCATCTCTATACTGCACATACATTTTTAACATTTTACACACATATTTGTGCTCCACATATGGCTGCCACATGTTATGTCAAATTCCCAGTAATAGAATTTACTTCCAAAGTTTCTTAATGGACATGTTCTTCTCAGAGTCTTTCTGCATGACTTTGGCTACTGCCATCTCAAAGTCCTCTTGAGTCACATGCACCCGGCGTTCACGAAGAGCATACATTCCTGCTTCGGTACACACTCCCTGAAAAAAAAATATGATGATTGTTACTTTAACTGTCCTCTTCTTCAAGTCACCTTTTTAACAGTCCTTCTCACCTACCTTCTTGTTTCTACTTAATTGTGATCTTCTTTCTTGTACTTAAAGTTTATCTCAGGGTTCATTGGTTACTAAAGGGGTGAGGTTGTTGGGTTCGGTAGGGCTGGATCCTATCTCAGAGCCTTATACGGGCCACACTCAAAGAAGCAGAAATAACACAGACTACCAAAGCACATTCACATTCAGAGGTATAATTATTCAACACTTGTTAGTCACCGTTTAACACTTTACAATTGACTACTTGTTGTGACACTTATCTAACTAAACCACTTTGCAGGTTTAAATTTATTATTATTAAAACTTGTTTCAGTCTAAGTGGTTAACACTTTACAACTGACTACTACCAGTATATTTGCTCAAGGGCTGGAGTGTGAGACTTTACTTCTTTCCTACGATTCCCGGTACGTGACTGACTTCGACAACTTTTACATCTAGTTCTTACGAGTCCCGGTGTGTGACTGACTTCCACAACTTTTATGTCTACTTTCTATGGAGCCTGGTGTGTGACTTTCTTCGACAACTGATTTCACTTCAAACCTCAAGTCCTTGTTCACCTCGGCGGCTCTGCTCTGTCACACCCTTAAATTTTAGTGATTGGTCAATTTAAAACTTAGGAGTATCTTAATTAGGTACTCCTCCACTCCGTTTAAAGCTTACAAGGGTTTAAGGATTTCTGACTCCAACGTATTTCTGTCTGAATCTTGACAAATGTGAAGTGTGGCTTGGGTCATAAAAACTTCATTCTTTTTAAGTTATGGCATGCACAAACTGCCAAGTATTGAATTCACAAAGGCTTCTTTAGTCATTCTTTCATGCAACTTTTTCCAAGAAACTTTTGACGGGTGTCTTCCTGTTTCTGCTGTAAGCATGGGAAGACGCTAACTTACATACAAGAATGGACCTATGTTTCCCTACACTTGTTCATTGCATCTCATTGTGAACAATTAAGATTTAAAATTAATAAATTAATTTCCTTTAAATCGGTTGCATAGCAGTGGAATGGTTACATTACCTACACTGGGTTTAAATTTGACTATACCTAATGAGGGAGTCTGAAATTAAACCAACTATGGGAATGTTTATATTTACATAACTTTCATCTTTTGTTACCTTAACTTCGGCACCAGATGCCCCAGGCATAAGTTCTGCAATCTTGCGGAGGTTGATACCTCGGGTCAGATTCATTTTTCGAGAATGGATCTTCAGAATGTCCAAACGAGCTTCTTCATTTGGAGGTGGGAATTCAATCTTACGGTCGATACGCCCTGGTCGAAGTAAGGCAGGATCCAAAATATCAATTCTGTTGGTAGCCATAATCACCTGCAGAAATTGATTGAGAAAAGTACAGCCATTTTCCAATCTTGTCTGGACTATGCCAGTATAACAGCTTCCCAAAGCATTTTGAGTATTTATTAAGGATATACAGTCTAATTCTGTTTCACTTATCAATGTAAAAGGCAAAAGGTAAAGCTATCCCTGTAACAGGCCGTGAAGGCCCATAGGGTTGTGAGATGTTGAGGCTCCCACATATTTTATGAAATCAGTTCACAGATGGTGATAAGGTTGTCAGCCTTATGTGCTGGCCACCCTTTACCCCCAGGAAGATTCCTGGTACTCATTTCTGTTAGAAGTTGAGTCGACCCCAGGGCGATAGTGCGGCTGGAAGGATTAGGTCAATTTCACTTATCAATGGATGGAGCAAAATTCTTAAGCCTAGTTTTATAATAGTGATATATATGAGATGGTATTCCCACTGCCAACTGTCTGTTATGACTAGCAGAGTCAACAAAAGTATATTTTAAAATATGCTTAAGTGAAGTGACCAGTCACTGAACCACCACAATTATACTGAATATTGTTTTGCAAGCAGTATTAGAGTTCACTGCACAATGTAGTCAAAATAGTGTCTTCTTTTCAGACTAGGTCACACATTTTTCCTGTAGTACAAGCAGTAATTACGTCGTATTATTTTGTGTAGGTATTAAGGTTCTGGCATTTTCTGTGAGCAAAAATACAGCATTTGGGCCCAATTTGGAACCATGACACACCTTAATATTTTTTGTAGCCTCAAATCCATCAAGCTGGTTCAACAGCTCCAGCATGGTTCTCTGTACTTCAGAATCACCCCCGCTCCCTGATTCAATCCTAGATGATCCAATGGAATCTATTTCGTCCATGAAGATAATAGAAGGTGCATGTTCTCTGCAACATAATTTTCATATAGTAATTGTCACACTGCAATAGCATTTGCTGTAATCCACAGATTTGAAATGTAAACAGCATGTTCTGGAGCGTTTTTGGCTAGAGCTGTCAATTTAACTTTTTACCATTGGTCAGTCAGTTAAAATTGCTCGGTTATCATGAAATTGTGCAACAGAGTCCTTGAGAAGCTAGCAGTTGCTCAGTGAGCCACTGATTTGAATAGTAAAGTTTAACATTTTGACTCCCACCCAAGGATAGACTTGTAAGTCATTTGGAAGGTAGTGTAATTACTTCTATATTGAAGAACATGGCACAGACCATCCAAAAGGTTGCTGCCATAAGAAAACGATCTTATTTAAGCAACATTTTATGTTGTGTTATGTTCATGCAGATATAGTTAAAGAATGAATGGAGACAATATTCCAAATGTTTTGAATATGAAACTAAATGAAAATGCGAAGAGGATACAGATCAAGATATTAACAACAGGTTAGGAAAAATGTTTCAAAAAAGGAAGAACATGTGAAGAAATTGAGTGGAAGCTTTGGGAAAATAGTGATACATGGAGAGGCTTAGTTGCAACATGACACACATACAATGAAAATGAGTAAAGAATAAGCAAGAAGAGATGTTACTTTGTATGAATTACTGGCAGCTTAAACCTTTTTATTCAACTTAAGTTGTAATACACTATACAAGACTATGATGAACATAAATTGGGACAAGAAGTTTACTGCTGCTGATCTAGGTCGGTGGTTCTCAACCTTTGTGAGACTGCGGCCCGGTAAATTTGTCTGAGATGGCCTGGTATAACTGATGTTAGGGCCCAGTACCAGGCTGCGGCCCGGTGGTTGGGAAACACTGATCTAGGTGATACAGCAAAGAATCTGCACAAGATGTTTCAAAGTGTGTCTTGCAAGTAAGGCAAGCAGATTAGAACTCATCATAAAGGACTTTAGTTCTGTAACTGATATGGGATAACAGGATAAAGCAAGCATGAAAGTAAGGTGAAGCTGTCCCTGTGCTTAACTAAGTAAGCACTATGCCATGAAGGCATATGGGGGAGTGATGTATTGATGAAAGTACATGGCAAAATATACAACTGAATTAAAGCCAAATATATTTATTAGTTTTCCCTTTTATAGAGGGAATGAGCCTCCATGAGTTTGAGAGAGCTTTACTGTTTGCAGTTTGTGGCAACATACAATGTTCCACCACATCTAGAGGTTGCTTGTTAAGTTCTGGCCTTGAAAACACGACCATAGCTTTCTGGACATAATGTGTGAATTGGCCCCTAACATCAGGTGGATATCATGGAAGGCAAATAAACTTAATGTCATTAGCAGGGGGTCAATAAAACCACCAACTAACCTACCTGGCCATAACAAACAGTTCTCGTACCATCCTTGAACCTTCACCAATGAATTTCTGCACCAATTCAGACCCTGAGACTCTAATAAATGTGCACTCAGTGTGATGGGCCACTGCTCGGGCAAGCAGGGTTTTACCTACAAACATGAACATTTGTTATTGATACATTACATGGCAATACATATTTAGTTAAGTGTATTGTAATCATTTTTAACCTGTTCCTGGTGGTCCGTACAAAAGTACACCTTTCGGTTGCGCTATGCCCAGAGCATCAAATAATTCTGGATGCTTCACAGGAAGCTCAATGACTTCCTTAATCTCTTTGATCTGCTTATCCAGACCTCCAACCATTTCATAAGTACTGTCAGGAACTTTTTCCACCATCATGAGAGATACTAGAGGATCAACCTGCAATCAGGTTAAATTTCAAGAATAAAGAAAAAGCGTAGGAACATATAATTTTGTATGTGAGAATTACATCCAACATCTAAAATTTCATACATAATTATAGTGCATACTTTATTTGGAAGGATTTTGTGTAGTGTGTAACTTTCATTACGGAGTGCAACACGCGAATTAGCTGTGACATCATTAATGTCAATGTTCTTGTCAAGGTCTACAACAAATTTCCCTTCAGGATGAACTTTAACTAAAACTTTCTTCTTGTCCATAGGTTTCACAACTTCTCCGACATATGAGCCTTGCTCTTGGAGTAACTGCAATTCCTCACGAAGCATTCGAACTGAAAGGGGGAAAAAAAATTAAAGCTTATGCATCTCAAGATTTTGGATTAAAATGGCATTCCTTATTCATTAAATGGACTCTACAAATTGTATATTTGCAAAATTGATTTAAGTCAGTAGCTTGACGAATGGTACATGGGTACTGAGAAAACCATGTCCATATTAACTACTGCTATGAATGAGAATCCTTAACAAGCTACTTATTACTGAACATTCATGGAATCAACAGGTCATCACCATGTTCACAATAGTCCATCAGTATGTAGGATTTGAGGTTCTCACAACGGTGGTTATGAAGAACGCCATCTTCTACAATATAACACCATGTAGTCCATTGAAAGTAAACCGATGTTTTGGAGGAACAAGTTCTCTCAGCTTGCCACCAGCTTTCACACTGGTATCTTGCTCAGCTTATTTGATCCTGAAGATGGAGGCAACATGTTCCTCCAAAACGTCGGTTGACTTTCAATGGACTGCATGGCATTATATCCCAGAAGACAGTACTATTCAGCCCACCAATAGATTCTATCCTGAGCCACATGCAATTCAGTCCACACCATCACATCCTATGTCCTACAATACCATTTTAATATTATCCTGTAATCCATGACTAGGTCTACGAAACGGTCTCTTCATTTAGATTTTCCAACTGATATTTTGTATGCTTTCCTCATCGCTCCCATACATATTTGCCCTGCCCAGTTCATACACTAATAATGTTTGGGAAAGCATGCATTTTTCATCATAAAAGTAACCTATATATGTACTCTTTCCAATTTCAGTGTTCATTTAGATGCCATATTAAGCTTCTGCTGTACTTCTGTAAGCTCCATACTGAAGTGTGTGCACAGTCACATACACAGAGTGAGCATACGAACTTGAGTTGACAAATACATGGTTTCACTGTTAACATTTTAAAATAGTATGGTGTATTAGAATTAAAAGGTGGGTCTGAAATATTCATGCCACAATGTTACATATGCAAATAAACACATATACATTCTAATTTTAAAAGAATCCTGCTTGCAAACTAAGTACATCATGACCATAATAGGTAAAAAGATATTCCTGTAACAGGCTGTGGAGGCCCATAGGATTGTGAGTTGTCGAGGCTCCCACATTTTCGGGACAATCTCAGATGGTGGTGAGGTTGTCAGCCTTATGTGTTGGCCGCCCTTTACCCCCAGGGCCATAATGCAACTTAAGGGTTACATCAATTGAAAATCCAACGACCTCATTGGGTCCATGATATGTAAGCAGTGTCCATCTTTTAGTGCACTCAATTTCACTTGTTACTTCACAACATGTTTTGGCACTATAGTGCCATCATCAGGTGCTCCATTTACATTAATCTATTTCATTGTAAAATTTAAAAAGTATTTAAAAATGTTCATCGATTATAATAAATATTTATATACCAAAAACTTGTTAAGATTATTTATCTTATCTGTCCCAATTCTAACACTGCACATAGTTCCACCACTATGGGAATAGAACTTGCAACAATCTGGCTTTCAGCATAGTGCCTCAACCAACTATGCTGCTGTAACCAACTGCGTTAATTACACAGCTTTGCGTTGAGGACTGAAACCTTATAAAACTTTAATTCTATTGAGAAGTTAAAGTAAGGTCAGGGTAGTCTGCTGGATACAGCAACAGTAAATAGAAGTCATATTCAGCCCCTGTAATAACTCTGTTCCCAGCATCAAAATATTTGCATACATTCTAGCAAATTGTTACCTTTTGCATTGAGTTCATTGCGCTGAGCTTGAAGGCGACGCAAATTCTGACTCTTCTCAGCCACAATTAATTCCAGTTCTTCAATTTTTGTGATGAAATACTGTCGCAACCCTTCCCCTTTTGAAGGTTTGTCATCGACGTCCATCTGAAAAAGAATGAATTCCAAGAGATAATTAAATTACATTAACACTTTTTCGGGTGTAATATTATTACCTGTGAAGGAATATATGACAAAGCTTATACTGGTGAAGGAACCAATTCAATCCCTACTTCCCACATAAGAAATAAGTAACTAAACTATTGCACTTAAACAGCACCTCAATATTTGACTGACGCATAATTAATTCCGGGTATGCCTACTCAAACCTAACAAACAATCATCTACAATAACGACAATGACTATCAGTTAGCTGAATTTCCAGCTAACACAACAGTCACGGATTACGTATATACAGGTACGAAGCAGGATGAGTAGCATCCGTGCAGTAATCCGTGGATTGTGGGGAAACCATGGTTGCTTAAAACGTTTCGGTCAAGAATATTTGTATTCAGCTGCTTCTCGCATGTCCACCACCAACTTGAGAACTTGAGCCACACAGGTCATTGTTTTATACGTAGTAACTTCACAGTAATGGGGATTTCAGTGAACACTGAAACATTGAGCAGAAAAATTGAGGAAAGTTCAGATCATGGATGACCAACCTCATCCCAAATGTAAAGGAACTGAAATGAGCCTTCCGGCACCGTAATATGCGGGGAGTTTATTGATATCATCAGCATCATCATCATCATTTATGTAATCGAATTTCGTGGGTACCTGGGTCATTGACTGACCCGAGGTCAGGAGAAGTTACGCGGAATCATTCTACTCACACAAACCACCTAACATAACTAGTCTAACCACGGGGAAAATCCTACAAACCAATGGACATACATAACAACACTGATAATAACACTACATCGACATTCTTACATATTGCACAACTAATACGCATAAGACCCAAACCGCAAAGGGAATGCAGCACGAATAAACCCAACAACGCGAATTACTTTGAAGCAAATATCTTTTAAATAAATGGACGAAGACCCCAATGGAAAAGCATTAAGATGGTAATTAATTTTAATTCAAGGTTAATCTATTATAAATAGGAGATATCGCGTCCACACACGATACATAATTTTGACACACAGTGCAACGCTCTTAGCAAGTTAACACCTGATGATAGCTATATACGAGCGCAACATAGAGTTAGGAAGAAGGGTGTCTAGATAATAAGATGCATTGAAGACGGAAATATATGTGTAATTAACGAAAGATATATTAATACCACAGGATGCTTAAATAGTTTACTTGTAAATTATTTATAATTCCAAGCATCACAACATTTGAACAGGACCCATTTACGACACCACTTTTATTGGGGGCTCTGTGATTGGTACTAGTGAGCGATGCGTGTGAACACTGCTCATAGATGGCAGTTGATGTTTGCGAGTGTTTCCTTTTCTTTAACCCAGTTGCTAGGGTCTGTGCATGCTGGTTAAGTTGACACAAACCAAGGAAGCCCCATCGAAATATCCGGGCTGTTAGGTGATGTATGTAATAAAATAACAAGAAATAGGAACGAACTTAGGTAGGCAGTAGAGCATAGTCAGTATAGGAATGTGCTCGTTCGCTTACCAAATCAGGAAGAATTTGGTGAAATTTGAGCAAGCGTGCAGTGTTTAGGTATATGCATAATTTTAATTTCGAGTTTTGCAGCCTTAACCTAAAAATTACATTTTGTAGTGGCGACGAATGAAAGGTACAATGGCAACAGATAAGGGCTCTTCTGCGGGTAATAATCCTCTTGAGCAGTTTGTACTGTTGGCAAAATCAGCGAAAGGTGCTGCAGCTGTGGAGTTGGTAAAGCAGGTTCTCGAAGCACCGGGGGTGCATGTGTTTGGAGAGCTGTTGGATATGCCTAATGTAGTTGAAGTGAGTAAATATTACTCTATATTGTGAATCATGGTTGTTAAAATTTGATATAGTGAACTGGAGACATCAAAAGTTAGAATAAAGACATTTTGAAAAGTACTAAACTGTGTCTAAAATATCTTTGACGGTACGTAGGCCCTCGTATAGTGACGTAGATGAGCACATCATCATTAGAGAGTTACTAAAATTCTACTTTCAACATGGGTGGGACGAAAAATCGCCATACTGAAGGTCTTGTTGAACACAAATGACTTTCTTCAGCAAGGCTGCCTACTCAAGGTGTGGTGTACCCACAGAGGTGTTTTAAACAGACAGTATCTTCTGGGATGTGATGTTGTATAGTCTGGCAAGGGTGCAGCATCGTTTCAGAGAACTGCCATTATTGGGATCAAGGAGTAAGCCAAGCAAGTAACCAGCAAGAAATGACAGCAAACAGAGCACTTTCACCCTTAAGATGGAGGCATATGTTACTCTGAAACATCAGTGAACTATCAGACTATATGGCATCACATCTCATGGTCACCACTGTGAGAACCTCAAATCCAACAAAGATATTTTGGTGTAGAGTTTTGATGAATATTCACTTTCTGCTAAGAATAGTTTAAGTTATGAAGAGTTTGGTGTTGGGATTATAATCCATGTAGGCCATTGAAAGTCAACTGATGATTCAGAGGAACATGTCATCTCCATCTCCTGGGTCAAAGAGTCACCATTGCCGCCTGCTTTAGGCTGATTTCTTGCTTCACTTACTCTTTGACCCGTAAGGATGGAGATCACGTGTCTCTTCAAAACATTGGTTGTCTTTCAATGGGATACATGGCATTATATCCTAGAAGATAGAACTCTTCATTATGACTACTGTGAGAGCCTCAAATCCTACCTCTTTGAACCTTGCACTTTGCAAACTGTACAGTATTATATATCCATGTACTGAGGCTGTCTAGTGCACATCTTCATGATGCTATCAAATGCTGAAGTTCATAAAAATTTTTATTTTGTATATGCTAACTAAATCCGGTGTGCTGGGGTTCTTCTCTCCATAGTGTCCAAACTGACTTTGGCATCCACCCAGCCTCCTATCCAATGGGCATGGCGTGTCCTTTCCCCGGAGGTAGAGTGGCAGGGGTGTGAAGCTGACCTCTCACCTCCATCTAGTGCTAAGGTTAAGAATGGTGGAGCTATATGTCCACTCACCCATACGTCTTCATGGCGTCTTTAATTAAGCACAGGGACAAGTTTAACATATCCCTTTCTATGCTTACTGGATCCAACACAAACATAATGAAAAGTAACTATGAAGAATACTGTCTTTTGGGATATGACAACATGTAGTTGGGCATCACGTTTGAGAAGACAGTTTTCTGCACAGTCATCACTGAAAACCTCAGACGTCACATAAGTTTAACTAAGCTGTCATCAGATTTGGATTTTATAGAGAGAATATAAAAACACCAAAATTATAAATCATTTGTTTAACATTTAATAGTAAAACCAAAGACGTCTGCCCATAGACAGTGTAGCAATGTCAAAATATAGTGTTAATAAAAGATTCATAAGTGACTTGTCATTATTTATGTTGTAGCTTGAAAATGGCCCGCATGCCAACTATTACCATGCCTTACATCTATTTGCATATGGAACTTATCGACAGTATTTGGAAAATAAAGCCAAGCTTCTTGAATTAACTCCAGTTCAGAAGAAGAAGCTACAGCACCTTACAATTGTTACATTGGCAACAAAGAATAAGGTATAGTAAGCATAATTTCTGTGTAGAATTTGCATTTTATTGATTCGCTGACTTTTCTTTTTCCATGGGGAGATTATAGCAAGAAAATTTCCTTAGAAATTTAGTTTTAAGCTATTTAAAATTGTATTTATTTATTGCAATTTAGTATTCAGGATTAAAAAATAGTTTTTTAATTTCTGATATTAATGTGTGATATTTTTCATTTTTGTTTCTCCCCCAAAAATCTGGTGTAGGGGAGCAGCCAGGTATCTGCCCCCTCCCCTCAAATCTCAGCAAGGACACTGGCTATCTTGACTGAGTTTTTCATGGGTTTTCTCAGTCCCTCCTGGCAAATTGTGGGAGAGTACCTTGATTAGGTCACAACCACTTCCTTCCAAATCTTTTCCAATTCGTTGTTCGTCAGTCATCCTACCATTTGACACTCTGTAGTTGAGATACTGATAAAGTAAAAGTAAAGCTATCCCTGTACCAGGCCGTGAAGGTCCGTATGGTTGTGAGACTTTGCGGGTTCCACATTATCTAGACAGTCGGCTCAAAGATGGCGGTAAGGTTGTCAGCCTTATGCGCAGGCCGCACTTTACTCCCTAGGAAACTTATTTAATTAATTCCTGGTACTCATTTCTGTTAGAGGCTGAGTGCAGCTGGAAGGATTAGATCAATTGAAAAAATTCAATGACCTCATCGGGACTTGAACCCTTGACCTTCCGGCTTGTAGCATAATGCCTCAACCAACTACACTACCGAGTTGAGATACTGATAGCATCATACAGTAAACCACAAAAAGAGGAAAGACCTGAATTAGTCATACAATTTCCCCGGGTCTGTACCTGATACCACTTTTATTTTTTCATGAACTTTTAATAAATAAGCCGTCCTCAGGGTTATACAGGAAAGGAACATTTTAGTATAAAGTTTGGATGTAGAGATGACAGGTGTTACCAATGTAGGGCTCCATTATTCTAGTAATTGAATTACTGAGAAGGTTTAAAGAAAATTATATATTTTCCATTCAGTATTCAGTAGAATGGTACTACTGCTCTGGACTGTTCAGTTTTACATTAACTTGTTCTTTGTAAAATATAATTCTTCAAATTTGTATAAATAAGTAATGTTAACTCATTCATTCTTTCATTCATTTTATTTGGCATTCATAATTGCTACAACAGTAACACTTGAACAAGTCACATCATTAAATATATCATTCTTGAAAGCCTTTTGCCCAAACGCCTAAAGGATTAGAATTTATAATGTTGTATTTTAGCGTCCTGTTGCACTGATTTTCATCCATGATATGTATACAGTGGCCATCTTGTAGTGCACTCAATTTCACCTGTTACTTCACGACATGTTTCGGCAACATAGTGCCATCATCAGGTGCCCTAATTACACTAATCTATTGCATTGCTTGCCCTCATATGTCTTCACAACACCATGTAAAAAGTATTTAAAAAGTGTGTATTTGTCAATTGAATTGAGTGCACTACAAGATGGCCACTATATACATATCATGGATTAGAATTTGTCAACAATTAATAACCACTCTTGACATAGTTAACCTATAATTAAAATATAACACACATTATCAAACCAGATAAATAATCAAATTAGATTCAGTATGTAAATCGAAATTCAAGCCAACCTTATGAGTTTATTGAGAGAATTTAACAGTATTAGGGTAAATCAGGAGTCCTACATATGATCATGTCATTCACCAATCACACTAAGATACTGCAAACAACCATTTGTTATCTGTTTCAATTGCTGAATAGAGGTTTTGCTATGCTTACTACTGTCCTACTAAGAGAAACTCATACAATGTATAGAATGGATGATCTAGTAAAATTATTTTTAGCCCATGTTTAAAGTCTTTAGATTCATATGATTTTTTAATTCCAAAGGCAGTCTATTATACAATTTAATACTCATATTGATAACACTCTTCTTAAAAGTTGATGTGTTACAGTTTGGCACATGAAAATCATCTTTCCTTCTAGTATTATATTCATGTAAATCTGAATTTCTGGTAGAGTATAAATTATATTTCTGAAAATACTACAACACCTCACTGCAGATGTGACTTATTTTTCAGTGTATTCCATATGCTGTATTACTTCAAGAACTGGATATTAAAAATGTTCGTGATTTAGAAGATCTCATCATTGAAGCTATTTATGCAGGTGAAAATGATTTATTGTAACAAAACAATATGTGTTTCTTTTCTCGAACCATATGATTAATGAGTCATCATTGTTACAGTCAGCCAGATGAATACACATTTAAATTTCCTGTTGTGTTAGTTATTAATTATTTTGCCTGTGGTTCTGTATGGGTATGAAACTTGGTCTCTGACATTAAGGGAGGAACATAGACTGAGGGTTTTGAGAACAGGGTGTTGAGGAGAATATGTGGACCGAAGAGAGTTGAAGTGACAGGGGGTCGGAGAAAACTGCATAATGAGGAGCTCCATAATGTATACTCTTCTTCAAGTATAATTAGAATGATCAGGTCAAGGAGGATGAGGTGGGAAGGCATGTAGCATGAATGGGGGAGACGAGGAATGCGTATAGGATATTAGTGAGAAAGCCAGAAGGAAAGAGACCACTGGGAAGACCAAAGCGTAGGTGGGTGGACAGTATTAAAATGTATCTTAGGGAGACAGGATGGGATGGTATGGATTGGATTGATCTGGCTCAGGATAGGGACTGGTGGAGGGCTCTTGTGAACACGGTAATGAACCTTCGGGTTTGATAAAATGCTGGGAAATTCTTGCGTAGCTGCAGAATTGGCGTCTCCCCCAGAAGGGCTCAACTGCATGAGTAAGTAAGTTAGATATTAATTTGTTTTATGGTGTATATCCTTTGCCTGTATTTTACTTTTAACCTTTTGTTTAACCCTTTATGTGTTGTCACCTTTTATTAATATTGTTTTAAAGTGTATCATATATTTATAATTTACAATATTTTATTGCCCTCACATTCCACATTAACTTGAGGTACAATATCAGATTTAATTGGATTTCATCCCCCGTCATTCTTCCTGACTTTTGATATCATGTACATGCAGTTTTTTTTTTTTCTTTATGATGACAATTTTAATCTACAGATTTCTTACCATCTTCTTCACATCTGTTTTATTCAAATTAGTATGTGAATCTTATGTTCTAATGTCTGAGTTATATTTATTTAACCTTGTTATATAAACAATTATTTAGTGTGAGATTTTGACTTGTAGACATAATCCACGGAAAGCTGGATCAGAAGCATAGCCAGCTGGAGGTTGACTATGCAATTGGACGTGACATTCAGCCAGCTGATTTAGGGTCTATTGTGAGCACATTACAAGACTGGTGTGATTCGTGTGAAGCTGTTCTGTCGTGTGTAGAGACACAAATCAACCGTGCCAATGCTGAAAAGAACAGGCGTCTCAAACACAAGGAGGCTATTGAACAAGAGGTGACTACACATACATAAAAATTAGAGGTAGTCTTCTGTTGGGTGTGCTTCTACTGTAATGGTTGAAGAGCATTATACCACAGGCTGGGGTATTCAGTTCTTTTATAAGTGCATTATTTTATGGCTTCTAATTACATGTGGTGGCACACAGTAGTGTAATTGGGTGAGGCACTATGCTACAAGATGGAAGGTTGCGGGTGTGTGTCCCAATGAAGTGGATTTTTTTTCATTTGATCTAAACCTTCCAGCCGCACTATGGCCCTTGGGTCAACTCAGCCTCTGACAGAAATGACTACCAGGAATCTTCCTGGTGGCCAACATGTAAACCTATTGCCATCTTTGATAATGTGGGAGCCTCAACATCTCACAACCCTATGGGCCTCCATGGCCTGTTACAAGGATGGCTTTACCTTTTACCTTTTTTACCCTCTAAGTACATGTATATCAGTATTAGGAGTGAAACGAAATTGTAGTTGTAATTTCCAATATTTGGGAGGTATAATGTGAAGTCACAAGCAGGCCAAATTCATGTTAGGATGTTCTTCACAGTAGCTTGAAGTAAGTTTGCAATCATTATGCATGGAACCCACTGTAATTTCCATAAGCTTGACAGAAGCATTGTGAGATGTTAAATGAAAATGAAAACCACGTAAGACGATCACATTTAAGAGCTAAGATTTGCAGTTCACACAGCAGTGACCATGAAATGTACTGCCTACTGGGATGTGAAGCTGCGTAATCGGGTAGAAAAGTATGGCGTTTCAGAGTAATGTTGGTAAACTTCTAGAGAACTACAGGGCATTATAACCCAGAACTATTCCTGTTTTAGGTGTTTTCTGCATTGAAAGCTTCAAAACGTTTAATGTGGTAATTATGTGTTAGGTTAGTATAGTTATTTCCTCTGTAAGACAGGCTCATTTTTATATATTATTTTTATGGCTGAGTATAGTGTCGGCAATGTGAGCTTTTATACCCAAGACACCTACATTTTCAATAAATAAAAGAAGCATGGGTAGGGTTGAAGCTTGTTCCCATAACAGTGATGGACAGTTGCAAATGTGCAAAGTGTGGATGGGACAATTATAATTCATTCAGTAAGTGTCAGACATGTACTCATACCTGCATTCTGAATTAGTTAACCATTCTTGAAGTTTCCTTTTCCAGTTGAATTATGTTAGATTCTATTTTTATACTAGATTATCAACATTAAGAAGACACTGAAGACTCAGTCGCAGGACCCAGATGAAGCAATGGCAACAGATTCCCGAGAAGCTGTTGCGCAGGGTGGAGATAAGGGAAAAAAGCCAATTAAAGCCAAAGGCCTACGTGGCAGCAGCAAGTTCTGGCAAAAATCATGAGCAGACCAAAACCTTTATTTAAGCCTGTGATTGAAGAAATTCATATGTAAGTACTGCTTGTAATTATGAAAAAAATTTTAATGAAAAAATGAAAAAGGGACTATGGTTAATATAATTGTTACTGCACTTTCCTGTTCGAGCGTGCGGAATTTAAAAATGTATATATTAGACTAAGAAAATGTTACAGTGAAAATGGAAGCATATTCATGAAATTGTAAATAAAATAAGTAGATGGTACATATTCCAGTAGCATTGTAGAACTTTAGGCCATACAAGTAAAGCAAGAAGAATCAGCGACTAAAACTTTATGTGGCATTTGTAAATGTGATAATACATGAATAACAAAAATACATGTTTTGTTCACATTAGCGTCCATTTGTCTATATCCGTCTAAATTGCAACACTTGTTTAACACTTCAATATATTCTTTAACACTTAACACCACATGTTTCAGCCTCAAAGGGCCATCTTCAGGTGTTTTATTACAGATATTCAATCAAGAATTTGTTAAAACTGCTACACTGTTTCGCTGTTCTAATTCATTTTAAAAACCACACGCTGCAGTTCTCCTTCAATTAAAATGAGATAAAATTCTATTAAAGGCTAGTAAAGACAACCCCACACGTTGAGGAGGAAACAAAAACAAGGCGCAAATAACTAACATGAGGAACAAGCTGCCGGGAAAAATATTTTAATATATTTTATGGAAGTGACGACACCCTGAGTGAAGTGAAACAACAAATTATAAAAGCATTTTATCTCGTTTTAATTGTAGGAGGACTGTAGCATGTGGTTTTTAAAATGAACTGGAACAGTGAAACAGTGTAGCAGTTTTAACAAGGTCTTGATTGAATATCTGCAATAAAACACCTGAAGATGGCCCTTTGAAGCCGAAACATGTACCTCTAAGTGTTAAAGAATATATTGAAGTGTAAAACAATTGTTGCAATTTAGACGGATATAGACAAACGGACACTAATGTGAACAATTGCAACGGGATGCTGAAATACAGAAACATGTTTTGTTATTGATTTCACACAATTGTGTGGTTCCACATTTGTGGAAGCTTGTGTTATACTGTGATGAGACTTGGGAATAAAAGGCAAACAGCTAAGGTCAATTTAATATTATATTGTAGTATCCAGCTGCAAATTCGTAAAAAAGGCACAGCATAACACGACAGGAAGAACAACCCATGACTTCTAATACACATGCACATAGAGTGGATCATATGTTAATAACTGAAGCTATGATAACAGAAGGACAGCAGTTTCCTCAACTATAATTTTTAACACCTGGTGAAGACCATATTGGTCAGAACATGCAGTGAAAAACTTTTAAAAAGTTAAAAGTTATATGATTTACAAAACTTTTAAGTGAATAACTTTCAGCAAATTTTATAGAAAGATGTGTTACACAAGAGATAGTGGAACTAAGAACATACACAGTGTGTGTATGATACTTAGGAACAGTATTGAAGAGTGATTTTATAATGAAACTGAAATCATATGAATGAATGAGAAAAGTTTGATGACAGGGTATACAAAATTTATAAACAAGTATTGTATTAGCTACTTACAGAAATTGTATGGAGCATTTTCTGTACGTTAAAAATTACAAACTTTCAATGTACACCGGAAAACTTTGAATTAATCCTGGAAAGTATGCATGATGGTAATTACCACAATGTGTAATTCTTAATTTATAGTTTTGGTTTCATTGGCTAACTATTCAAAAGAAAGTTACACATCATATATGTGAGCTTCCTGTTTCTGAAGGCATGATGAATATTGTTACAGTTTGAGTAAAACCATGAAAAGCCTTAGTCAAGATAGCAAATTCCTGGGCCAAGATTTGAACCTGGAACCTCTCAAATATGAAGCAGGAATGATTTCTAAGAAGTTTCTAATAAACTGAAGAAATTATTTACTTTCAGGTGATTGGCTATGCTGGTGTTTACCATACCATTGTCCAACCTGATGAGCAGTATGCATTTGAAACAACTGTTCTGAAGGACTAGGGAATGCACAACACCTCTGGCAATTTGACGTGTTTTCAGAATGTTTAATTTAATATAAATGAAGGGAAAATCGTAATTAAAATGTGATTTCTTTCTCTGGCATTATCTTTACTGTTCTTTGTGATGCTATCCTGCCATTTGTTAACTGAGTGAAGTTAAATTCAAGAGGGATTCCTACCCTGAACAAGATTTGAACATCAGACTTAGATTCTGGCAATTTAAGCATAATTTGTTTTGGGTCATGTCTGCTGTAGACAGTTTCCGGTACAAATCAGTGCACACTTAAGTTTAAGTTTCGAAACTAACATATGCCAATATCTAAAGATAAGATCAGATAATCTCTGACTTCTTTGTTCATGGTTTTCTCTTCACTGTTGTGTGATGAGAAACCCATAATTTCTCAAAACCACAAAGGTGCTTTGATATAATGCAATGGGGAAATGCCCTTATATTAGTCCTCATGCAGGTATACTGTATTTACCCAACTGTAAAAGGAATCTTTCTTTCTAAGTTTTCCTTCATTAAAAATCTGATATTCTTTTAGATTCACAGAAGAAACCTGTGTAAAGAATCAACATAATTCAGAGATTTCAGGGAAAATATATCCCTGACAACTGTCGCTTATCTCAAAACTCGTATATGTATAAAGTACTGATATATTTCCAAAACATTCATTGTCTGACTTTTGTTACTGTTACCAACATATTTGCATGTGTTTTACCTGCTTACATTTTTTGAAGCCATAATATTATAGTTAGTGGCTGTTCTTTGAGATCCACTTCATAATGACATATTGTTCATGAAATATGATTGTGTAATTCCAGTATCTTTGCTTTATTTCCACCAAAGAGAATCATACTGAAGCAAAACTCTGGCTCTAGAAATATTCTGATACTGATGTTCTACAAATATGTGAGTGTTGAGGTATGGCACAAAATGTTACTAGTTCATGAATGCAGTGATCAGTAACAGATTTACATATTACTGCTGATATTAAACGTTTATAATATTTTATGGTATTTGTTTTAAAAGAGCTCTGTTTTTGAGCATTTAAGATAACCATGTCTGTTAAGTAAAGAATTTAATAAATCATGTGGGATGATCATTGGAAACCATCTGGAACCAGAAGGAAGTCGTGCTATGCAGATTCCTGTGAACTAAGTGTGGTAACTTTGAATTAATGATTATCAGATGTGTCAAGTTACAGAGCAGAAGGAAATACAACATTTCTGAAGCCAGTACATAGCAAATGCTGTTCCAAGGACAATTAACTGAGTGTAGGTTCCATTGGAGAGACACCCTGGAGACCTAAAATGAACCACAGAAGTTTGGGTTTGAAAGAGAATTGTACCTAAGCAATAGGGTAGGGTAAATACAGTATATACTGTAGTGTATGTGTCTGTCAGCGTCACCATTGAGGATCAGGTCAGATTTGATTATATACACAACTGCTAAATTTAAGACTGAAATGTTGGAAGAGAAATTCAGTTTCATGAATTTTTCAACAAATTCACTGTCTTCATGCTATTATAAATTTACCAGACAAGAGGAGGAGAGTTTTGTATATAAAATAAATATACTAAGTCCTGTATTTGCATACTTAATTCTTGTACTTTTTTACTCAAGTTTTATGTTCGAGATGTGGATGTGAAATGTATGCAAAGCAGTCTTTCTTACTGATCCCTTAGTTATCCCAAATATTAAAGCTACATTCTCAGTTAATTTTTAAGAATTAAACAACATTTTGTTCACAAAGATTTTTACTGAGGAGCCATTACTGTGCTAAAAACTTGGCCCATTTTCATAAAAGGTGAGCCTGGTCACCATGTAAATAGTTTCTGAAGGGCTGACAGTCATCTGATATTTGCGAAGAAGTTTTATGTATAGAAGTGCCATATGAAATTCAGCACGTTAACCTTTATTGTAGAAGATTTAAATTCTCTCTGTAGCTGCTTATAGCCCAAATTAAAAGAGTGCATTTGATTAAAACTGAGTCTTGTTTTCTAAAAATTCAAATTTCTTCAGAACTATGAATGATAAAAATATACAACAAAAAGTATGGTGTCTTAAAGTGAACAAAACAGACCATGGTAATGAAAATATTCATTTCTATAATAGGCAAGAGACCAAGTTAAAATGGTGTAGATGCTTTATTGCCACTCCTTTTAAACTTGGCTTTAGAATACTCCATAAGGAAGGTCCAGGAAAACCAGGTGGGACTGAAATTAAATGGGATATTTCAGCTGCTGGACTACACTGATGATGTGTTACTGGGATATAACACAGATACCATAAGGAAAAACAGGAACTTTGGCACTAGTAAGGGGGTTGGTCTAGAAGTAAATGCAGAGAAAACTAAGTATGTGTTGAAGTCTCATCACCAAACTGCATGGCAAAATGATGACATAAAGATCTTTTGAAAATGTGGTACAGTTAAAATAGTTGGGAACAAGAGTAACAAATCAAAATTTGATTCAAGAAGAAATTAAGAGGTGATTGAATTCGGGTAATGCATGCTACCATTCAGTCCAGAACTTTTTGTGTGACATCTAAAAGCGTGGTTTGTATTTTAAACAGAATGGCTTGGAGACTGGATTCTGTATTTGTCTTCAGGCAAAACCTACTCAGTTGGCCCCAATTGATAGAGCTAAGTTCTGAGATGGGAGCTGTAGCATTTCTTTTTTTACCTCGTCCAGAAACTTTCTGATAACACCTTGCATTCATATTTATCCTAGCTGTAAATATGATTTTGAAGGTTGATAGACTGTCCTATCTTTGATTTTATAGCATCTACAGTTGTCTTTTTTTAGACTGACCTGGTGGTTTCAGCTGATATTTTAGCTGGACTCTGACCATTATGTTGTATGTAGCCATAGGTGCATGGACTCAAGCGTGTTCTATTTGATTTATATAGCCTGCTTTGTTGGTAATGTCTCGAAAGAGGGATTACCGTATTTACACATGTATAGGCCGCGTGCGTGTATAGGCCGCAGCACAATTTTCAGACAAATTGTAGAAAAAATAATTTTCTTGGAATATTATTTCAGGAATAGAACACCCAGTATTACTAATTATGAATATATTTTTTTTTAAATGAAGTGTGATTTTGAATATTTCGAATATAAGCCGCACCCCAGTTTTCCTCTTGAATTTTTGGCAAAAAATGTGCGGCCTATACATGCGTAAATACGGTATATTGGTTGGGCCCAACAGAGTAGGATTTTTACCTGACGACTGCGAAAGAGTGCAGTCTTCAAAACATTGTTTTAAATAAAAAGAGGGCAAAGACTAATGTCAAAAAGTCAGTTATCCACATATGTTTTGAAAGAAAATTTTAATTTTGGTCATAGAGTCCAGTCTGTTTACTGCAGCCATGAAGATCTGATCATCCCTATTGTACTGTATATGGGTATAAACTAATTTTATTTGAGTGCCATTTCTTTAGCTTTTAGATACTAAAAGTTTATCTTTTAATGCTGAAAAGGAAAGTGACCATATCCATGACTAAGAAAGAAAATTTCTGCTTGCAAACTTACATATTCAAGGAATAGCTGGACATTGGAAATAGTAATTAGTTCTTTCTATAAATTCCTATTTTAAACCATGAAGAAATTTTGTCCCTTCTGAGAATACTGTCTTCTTCCTGTCTGTTCCTATTCACACCTCATAGGCAGGCTGCACACCGGCATGCGCTTAGACATGTAACAGTCAAGACATGATGTCTGCGACATGACACAAAGGAAGTAGTACAGTTGAAACGAATGAGATTATGGAAACCGCTGCACATCGGTCTGAGCCATGATGCTGACAAATCACGAATGAAGCAAGACTGCGTCTTTTGTCTCATGTCTTGATGCTTGTCTTGACACAGTTGGTATGCAGTTGCCCTTACACTTTTGAGCATTTTATGCAACACTACAATAAACTTTAAATCTTCTGTATCTAAGCAAATATTCATTTCCACGTTATGACATATCTACTCGTATAATTATTTTTTCTCCACACACTTCTCATGGTTTATTAATTCTGGACACGTCCAATGCTCCCTTCTTTGTATGGCAGTGGAAGTTGACTAAAGGAAGACTGACAACAGAGAAAAGAAGTATAAGTTCTTGTAGATCTTAAATATGATTTCATTCCCACGTCCAAGCATTGAGATCATAGGAAGAGGCTGAACAGGCGAGAGCCATTTTGAGTTAGGGCACTTCCTTATCTGACTTTCATATGTCATTAATTCTGCTGCCTCATTAGGATTCCAGAAGGACCTCTTTCTTCCTGGGAGTTATATTGCCAATTTGCATATATCTGTCCATCGACTGCTGCAGTCTCGGGTTTCACTATGATAAAACATTTATGGGATTTTCATTGAAATCGGTATGTAAAAGCAGAACACTGGATGACGCTGAATCTTGGTACATGTTATAGTGCACCACATGGTGCTTGCATGGTTTCCTCAGACTCAGTAGGCAAATATTGGAGCTGTTTGTTAGAATTGGCCACGATCGCTTACTTCGGCAAGTTTTCTAGCTCACTGATGTCATTTAACATCCGAAGCTATATAAATTTAACTCGGTGAAAAGTCGTCGTTAAGTAATCAGAGGGTAATCTATCGATAAAGGCAAAATTTTCAATTTGCTTAACTAATTGAGCACTACGCAATGAAGGCGTATGGGGGACTGGATATACGGATCGATGTATTCTTGTTTAATTGCTCCACGTTATAATGACACGTCTGTACAGCTCCTCTATTTTTTATACTTCTCATCCTGCATAGCTGCTACTTCTGGATTACGTTTTGGTTGCCGCTCCGGCCACCTTCCGTTCCTCATTGTTGAACGGGTATGTATTTGGAAATGCAGGATAGTGATTGTTGGGCGCCAGTAAGCGTATGTGTATAGTTTTTTTTTTAATTCGCTTAATTGGGGGTGGAGTCCAACTGGGTTCACTCGGAACGGCGGCCACTGATTGGCCTATTGTAACCTGCCCCGGGTGATTATGATGATGGAGAATTTGGTGGAATGAAGATTGGCAGGGGAAACCGAAGTACTCGGAGAAAACCCGCCTCAGCGCCACTTTGTCCACCACAAATCATACTTGACCAGACCCGGGATCGAATCCAGGCCGCCGTGGTGGGAAGCCAGCAACTAACCACTTGAGCTATGGCGCGGCCTATGTGTATAGCTTACGATCAGGAAAAATTCTGCTCAGTTGAGTTATCTGGGTTAGCCGGTCTGCTTAGGTACTTGTAGAGGTCAGCTCTAGTCTCAGGTCGTAACGGGCCTCACTCTGGCAGGACAGGAAGAAACTTATGGTGACAACTTGCACTGAAACCGTCTTACTGTCACCCAAGGTTTTATTTATTGTTCATTGCTTAAAGAAACACTTTTTAATACTAAATTTATTGAGATTAGCTCTTTCTAAGGCGCTCAACTGAGTAGGTGTCTTCCTTTGACACCTGAAGACGGAAACAGATTCAGTTTCCGAAACGTCATGTCCTATATTACCTAGAATTCCGGATGATGGGAAAAGTTAAAAATACCCAGCAATTCTACTATGCCTATCCCTTAACTTGACTTTTACTAAGCGAAAAAAATCCGTGGCTTCAGTCCGCAAGCAAACTATACCGACCGAGAAAACGCCGCTTGTCGGCGAAGTTAGTGCCAATTTTTGCGGCTAGAGGGTGTCACGTGGTCAGCGCAACGGATCCCCACGGCCGTTTATCTCGGTTTTCTAGAACGGCTACTAAGCGAAACATGTAAAAGAAGTTTATAGTGAAGTTGGAAGACGACTCACTCTGATAAGTAGTGAGCTTCTTCGAGCCTAAATCCCCAAGATGAAACTTCTCCCTGAAGTAGGCCTAATTTTTCCAGCTCAAAATGTACGAGTCCATCAGAAATTTACATTTCCCAGTGATATATAATTACTCCCCGATTTTAGCCCTTAAAGTTTCAGTGGTACTTTTGGTAGCAACTTGATGTATAATCAGCTTGGCTTGGGTTCTTGGCCGTCAAATTTTTAGTTCATAGCTTGCACCAAATGTCAAATTACAGATTACTAAAGGTACGCTGCTGTAGCCGGTCACGGTAGCCGAGCGGTATAAGGCATGCACTGTCTTCGCTCGCTCGGAAGCCGGGATCGTGGTTTCGAATCCCACTCAGGGCATGGATGTTTGTGTGCGTTTTTCTGTGTTTGTCAACAGGTAGAGGCCTTGCGACCAGCTGATCACCCGCCCAAGGAATCCTACCGAATGTATAAGATCTAGTAAACCGAAGTGAAACGGAGAGTTTCATGGAGGTAGGCCTAGGCCCAAATTGGGGCTGTAGCGCCACAGGAAAAAAAAAAGGTATGCTGCTATAGCTAAAGCAGCTACAATTCCAGGAAGCGTAGCAGCTCCTACATCCCCCCCCCCACAAAGCAAGAATGAGCGTATGTTACCTTCTGTATGTACAAATATGTCTGCTTACTTCTTATTCACAACTTACGAGTATAGCTTGTACTTAAATTGTTCTTAATTAACATAATTTATAGTAACCCTAATTCTAGTGAACCGTCACACTTGACCTCGGCATTAATTGGAGGCAAGTGATCAGCTTCACGCCCCGGA